TCTGACTCTGGACTTGTTTTATTTCAGATTTGATCCCTTCTAACGCCCCATAATGGATCGTTGGACTAAACTCACCCCCCCACACACCCCCACACCCCACCTCACCCCCCCCCCACCCCCATCATCACCCCCCCTGACCCACACACACCACCCACCCCCCCCCCCCCCCATCATCACCCCCTCACACCCAACACACACCACCCCCCACACCCCCCCTCACCCACACACACCCCCTCACCCTCACCCACACACACCCCCTCACCCCCACCACCCCCCCCCCCCTCACCCACACCACCCCCCCCCCCCCCACCCACCACACCCCCCTCACCCACACACACACCCCCACCCCCCCCCCCCCCTCACCCACACACCCCCCCCCCCCTCACCCAACACACCACCCCCACCCTTCACCCACACACACACCCCCCCTCACCCACACACACCCCCCCACACCCCACCCCCCCCCCACACACCCCCCACACACCCCCCCCCCCACACCCCCCCCCCCCCCCTCACCCACACACACCCCACCTCACCCCCCCCCACCCCCCATCATCACCCCCCACACCCCCCCTCACCCACACACACCCCCAATCACCACCACCCCCACACCCCCCCCACATCACCCACACCCCCCCTCACCACCACCCCACCCATCACCACCCCCACACCCCCCATCACCCACACCCCCCCTCACACCCCCCCCCCCCCACATCACCCACACACACACCCCCCACCCCATCACCCCCCCCACACCCCCCCCACCACACACCATAACCCCCCATCAACCCCCCCCCCCCCTCATCGCCCCCCCGCCCCCCTCATCGCCCCCCCCCCCCCCTCCCCGCCCCCCTCATCACCCTCCCCGCCCCCCCCTCATCGCCCTCCCCGCCCCCCCCCTCATCACCCCCCCCGCCCCCCCTCATCGCCCTCCCCGCCCCCCCTCATCGCCCCCCCTCCCCGCCCCCCCCTCATCACCCTCCCCGCCCCCCTCATCACCCCCCCCCCCCCTCATCGCCCCCCCCGCCCCCCCTCATCGCCCCCCCCCCCGCCCCCCTCATCGCCCTCCCCCGCCCCCCTCATCACTGCCTCTGTCGGCCACACCCAGTGCGCATGTCAAAGAGCGAGAAGGCCCGTCGACGGTCCGTTTGGTGACAGTGCGCAGGTCAGAGCTCAGTTTGGGCACTGGTCGATTTGTTTTTTCTGGAATTGCGCGTGAAAAAACGACTTTGCGCGGTCGGTCGTCTAATTTTTAATTTAAACCTGAAAAACGTCCCGCCCCCTCCTCCCCCCCCGCCCCCCCCCCGCCATTTGAAGACTTTCCTACACTTTTTTTTAAAAAGCACTAAACCTAAAACCTACAGGAGGTGACCTGTAATATTGGGCAACTCTCCAGGTTCGCGCTCAGTGGGACTTTGAAGGCTCTTCGTTGTCTGGCAAAACCCGGGTCACAGTGCGCATGTCAGCATGGAGGGTCACAGTGCGCATGTCAGCTGTGGTGGGTACCTACCTCGCCGGAAGTGGAAGTACGTCACGGACAGTTTCAACGGCGGCAGATTTGAAAAGCTGCTGAGACGCGAGATCATCATCTCCAGTGAGTGGCTTTACACACCTCACCCCGTGCACACAATGAGTGGCTTTACACACCTCACCCCGTGTACACAATGAGTGGCTTTACACACCTCACCCCGTGCACACAGTGAGTGACTTTACACACCTCACCCCGTGCACACAGTGAGTGGCTTTACCACCTCACCCGTGCACACAGTGAGCGGCTTTACACACCTCACCCCGTGCACACAGTGAGCGGCTTTACACACCTCACCCCCTGTACACAATGAGTGGCTTTACACACCTCACCCCGTGCACACAGTGAGTGGCTTTACCCACCTCACCCCGTGCACACAGTGAGCGGCTTTACACACCTCACCCCGTGCACACAGTGAGTGGCTTTACACACCTCACCTGGTGCACACAGTGACTTTACACACCTCACCCCGTGCACACAGTGAGTGGCTTTACCCACCTCACCCCGTGCACACAGTGAGCGGCTTTACACACCTCACCCCGTGCACACAGTGAGCGGCTTTACACACCTCACCCCGTGCACACAGTGAGTGACTTTACAGACCTCACCCCGTGCACACAGTGAGTGGCTTTACCCACCTCACCCCGTGCACACAGTGAGTGGCTTTACACACCTCACCTGGTGCACACAGTGAGTGGCTCTAACACCTCGCTCAGTGAGGGAGGTCACCTTCTCCCAGCTCGGCTTCAGGCCACTGTTAAATGCTTTTAAGACACTGCCCACCAAGAAGGACGCTATATAAATATATACATTGTTCTTTTGTTGAGGTTATTTACACACTTCACCCAGTGCATGACTTGTGATCTTTAGGCAGATGTTCAGTATGGTCAATTAATGTTTGTTAAAAGAGGAATACCGTATAAGACAGATATCAGGAAAACTCCCTTTTCTAATTTGTTATCCAAAGATAATAGATTAGTTTTGGTCAATTGGGTGTCTTGACACATGTTGAAACCTATCCCCATGCTTCAGAGTATTCAAACCAGCCTGAAAGTTCCATGCATCGCATTTGCACAGGTAAAAAAATCTGTGTCTGGAATGGAAACATCTGTCTTTATTTTTATATTTCAGATGTAGAAAATATCAAAATGTGATGAGGAAACCAAGGGAATCACTAACCCACAACATTAATGGAAAGGAAACAAAACGGAACTACGTTGGTGGTAGTTCCGTGTTCTACCACCAATGTAGTTTACTGCATTCACTGCCCACGATGTGGTCTATACATTGGGGAGATGAAACATAAATTGGGTGACAGATTTGCTGAACTCCTCCACTCTGAGCTTCCGGTTTCTTGCCACTTCAACTCTCCCTCCCACTCGCACTCTGACTTCTCCATCCACGGTCTCCTGCGCTGTTCCAATGAGCCACAGCACAAACTCGAGGAACAGCACATCATTTATCTGCTTGGGACCTTACAGCCCTCTGGCCTCAATATTGATTTTAACAATTTCAGACAATAACAGCTCACTGACCTCCTCCCCCTCTTCTATGACCATTACCACATCATCTGGGTCCCAGACACTTTTCTCTCTCTGGTCTGCCTATTTTGTTGCAATTTTCTCCCCTTTGTTTTGCATTTTTAATACCTCTTTAACCCATTGTCTCCTGTCCTCTATTCCATTTTCTCATTTGTCTTCCTTGTCTTCCTTGTCCTGCCTCTCCCTCTCTGTTAGCCCTGAAAAGCCTCTCCCTCCCAACGAAGGGTGGTGGACCCGAAACGTTGACTCACTTTCCTTTCTCCATAGATGCTGCCTGACCTGCATTAATGGAAAGGAATGTATGGAAAGGAAACTATGTGTTTTCAATTCTTATAATTATCTGATATAATTTGAGAAGGAAAAGATTAGAATTTACCTTTTCTGACCAAAAGTATATTTGTTGAATTTGTGCAAAACTTTGGTTAGACCACATTTGGAGTACGGTGACCAATTCTGGTCTCCACAATATAAGAAGGTTATAACAGCGATGGGAAAAGTACCGTGTAGGTTCACTAAGATCGTACCAGGACTGGCAAGTTATTGCTCATGGAAATAACTGGATACGTTAGGCTTTTCTTTCCATTAGAGAAGAGACATTTAAAGGGGGATCTAAAAGAGTTGCTTAAAATTATAAAGGTGTTCAATATGGTTAACATAAATAGGATATTCCCACTGGTGGGGTAGAAAATAACCAAGGGACATAAGGAAAGGTTGTGACTAGGGGATCTAAAAGAAAATTTAGAGGAACTACTTCACGGTGAGGGTAGTGAGATTGTGGAACTCACTGCCTGAAGCGGTGGTGGATTAGATGGTGTAGATCCATTCAAAAGGAACCAGGAGCTTCATGAGAGAGAAGGAAATAGAAAGGAGTGGATGGCCTATTTTTGTGCTATACATTCTTTGTAAATCTTTGTATTTTGTGCCTTCAGGTCACAGGTAAATTGCAGATGTGGATAGAGGCCTCCAGAAAGAATTTGGCAACCTTTACTACTACAACTACTACTACTGTAGTAGTTCGCCCACAAATATATACAGTCAATTCACTTTACAGGCTATTCTGTGAAGCGCTTTGAGACGTCTAGAAGACGTGGAAAGCGCTATATCAAATGCAAGGATTATTATTATTACTGCACTTTTAAGCTCTGACCATGTTGGTGCACACTGAAAATTAAAGACTATGGCTAAATGCTGTTTAGTTTTGAAGAGCAAAGATATAGCATGTTTTTTTTTCCTTTTTTTGACGAACTGGAAACAGGCACCATAAGATAAAAGCACAAATCATGGGAGTGCATGACTTATGGCAGATTTTGGAGCCTGTCAAAGAACATGTTCCATTACAAAATCTCAGCGGGAAAACATTAGCCGTCGATATGAGCTTGTGGGTGTGTGAGGCTCAGACTGTCAAAGCCATGATGGGAACCGTCATCAAGCCACACCTCAGGTAATGGACAGAATTTTACACATTTTATACATGATGCATTTGATGCATGTTCTTATTACACATTTTATATTCTCTTGATTTTCAAAACCGAGAGCTAAATCAAAACAGCAAAATTACATTTCTTTCACGTCGTGAGGACATCCCAAGGCACTGGACAATCTGTGTTTTGGACCCGAGCTGAGGATCAGGGAGGGTGTAAGGCAGGGGTCGAAGAAGGGTGACCGAAGGCATGGTCGAAGAGGAGGATCTTGAAGGAGGCAAGGGAGAGGGCAAGGTGGAGGGACTGCAGGATGGAGTTCCAGAAGGTGGGGGCAGAATGGCTGAAGGCCTGCCTACCAATGACAGGGCGGGCGTGTGAAGCAGACTAGAGCCCACTGAGCAGTGGGAGCGGGCAGGTTGGAAGGGGGTTAAGATGTCTCAGAGGTACAGGGGGAGCAACGCCATGGAGGGGTTTGAAAGTGAGGACCAGGATCTTGAACTGTACCCTCTGTGATGGGAAACCAGTGGAGTCGGACGAGGATGGGGGTGATAGGGTAATGGAGCCTGTTGCAGGAGAGGACAAGGGCTGCAGAGTTCTGGATGATCTGCAACTAATGGAGGGAGGAGTTGGGGAAGCTAACAGGCAGGGAGTTTGCGTAGTCGAGCCTGGATGTGATGAATTTGTGTATTAGGGTCTCGGCGGCCTGCAGTGTGAGACAGTGGCGAAGCCGGGCGATGTTGCAGAGGTGGTGGAAGGCAGAGTGGGTAATGGCCCAAATGTGGGGTACAAAGGACAGTTGAGGGGCAAACAAAGTGCCAAGATTCCAGACTGGCTTAGTGAGGTGGAGTGTGCATCCTTGGATGGTGAGGCTGTCAGTGTCCGACGTGTGGAGGCGTTAACGGGAGCCAATCAGGAGAGCCTCGGTCTTGTTGAGGTTCAGCTGTAGAAAGTTAGTTCTCATCCAGGACTTGATGTCCGACAGACATTCTGTCAGCACAGCAGTGATCCTGGAGTCGAGCGTGGAAGCAGAGGTGGAATTGGGTATCATCTGCATACATGTGGAAATTGACCCCATGTCTGCAGATGATGTCATCAAGAGGGAGCATATAGATATTGAAGAGGAGGGGAGCGAGGAGAGAGCCCTGAGGAATGCCGCATGTAACAGTGCGGGGGCTAGAGGAGAAGCTTGTGGAGGTGAAGTGGAGATGGTGTGAGAGGTACAATCTGAACCATGAAGATTGAGGTGAGAGGAGAAGCAGTGGAAGAGGATAGAGTGGTCAATGGTATCAAAGCCAGCAGAGTGGTCAAGGAGGATGAAGAGGCATCTGATATAGCACATCATCACATTTTCGAGATGTCGCAAAGCGCTTCACAGAATATATTGTAAAGTGAATTGACTATATTTTGTGGGCAATACGCAGCAGATAATTGCGCTCAGTAGTGTCCCACAAACCTTTGTGGATTGAGTGACCAATTTATTTATTTTTTTAATTCTGTGTTTAAGCAAATGAATAAAAATGTGATTGCTGGAAATAGACTATTGTACTTCCTTTCTATTCTATGTAAGGGCTTCCCCAGTCCAACTATTTACATTGTGGTGAAGTATATTCATAACCAAAATATTAACCCAACTTCCTCTTCCGGGTGCTGTTTGGTCTCCATTGCATTTTATTAGAAGTAGAATTGTTTAATCATTGTTTCTAGATTGAAGGTGTTTTATCCCTTTGATATCATGTTGAAACTGCTGAGAAGTCAGAGAAAGAGTTCACATATGATTGCAGCTTCCCCAGAGTTGCTCTGCCTTACCCTTCAGGTTGTATTTCAGCACTACCCAGTGCCTCATCTGTATTCAGGGCCACTTCAGAGAAGCCTGAGTATGAATGATCTCTGAAACTGGATTTCTGGCAGCATGGAACAAATATACAGATTTGATCAAATGTGCAGGTCCTTTGGGAGGATGGTGAAAAATTGGAGCAGGCCAGCAAGTAAATCACAGATTGCATATGTAAAGTTTCATTTAGGATAAAATGAAACAATGCAACTCCGATTGGAGTGAAAATCCATCTTAAATGTGCAAAGTGTGAATAGTCGAGGCATTATAAGATTGAAAACAACATATAAGAATTCAAATCCTTTTTCCTCCCCTCTGTTGTTACAAGCTGTCTTTCCTATGCATTTTACTATTTTTGTCCTCAAAATACACCGTTACTACACTTTACAATATTATCTTACGCTTTGGGATGTTGTCCTGTCATGAAAAGCGCTGTACCAAATGTCAGGATGATTATTTATTATTACTTCGGGGATTTCTCATTTCAAATCTGCAATCCCTATGTACCTTGGAAGCGTGGAGCTATCAATATTCCTTGCAACCCTAGGAAATGCACTGTTGTGTACAACTGAATTTGCACTATTTTAGACTTTTATTTGCATATCATAAACTAAATGAAAATAGTTGGTATCTATGGCACCTAACTATTGTTTTAAACCATTGAAATTGATGATTATGGAAATTTGCGTATGTTTTTGATTTTTAGAAATTTGTTCTTCCGTGTCTCATCTCTCACTCTGATGGGTGTGAAGCTCATATTCGTGGTCGAAGGGAATGCCCCAAAACTTAAGGCAGAGACTATGAGCAAACGGAATGAGGCAAGATGTGGAACATTCAGAAAACCAGACAGCTCTTCAGTTCGAAGAGGAAGATCACATTTTCAATCCATTCTTAAAGAAGTTAGTAATGTCTAAAGAGTAATTATGTTTTTAAATGTATATTTAAATGCAGGTTTTTAGGATTTGCATCTGAGTTTGAATTGCTTTATGGACCTTCACTGTTCAGGTTCTTTGAATCAAAGTCATAGTTGTAAATTTTACAATAGTTTTAAAGTTGGATATTGTTGTGTGTATTTATAAAGAAGATTGCTGTTAGTACCTTTTATAGGTCAAAGTTTACTATCTTTTCAGATGATATTTGATTCATTAAAAAGAAATCCTGATGGCATTTAGCTTCTAACAACTTTCCCTACCTCTGGCTATCACTGTATCAACCTTTCTGACTGCTCACTTCAGCTCATGAAGCCAGCGTGAAATCTCAGGGTTTGTTTTATCAAGTCCATTTCCTCTATCTACCTGCATCCCTACCTCATCCACCATGCAACCAAAACTATTTCCCATTCCCTTGTCAACTCCAGACATGATTTCTCTAATTCTTGCATACATTTAGGTTCATCCAGAACTCCACAGACCGTTTCCTTTCTCAAACCAGGCTTTGCAGCCCCATCACATGACCCCCATCCTTGCAAGACGCCATTGGCTCCCTCTGCACAAGTCAATTGACTTCAATATTTTTTCTCTTAAGTTTCGAATGCTTCCACATTCTTTCCCACCTTATCTTTGCAGTTCTACTTACCCTCCCATTTCCATTCATACACTGAATGCTAGCATTAGTGAAAAGCGCTATATCAAATGCAAGGATTATTATTACATAATTACTTTGCTTCACACCATTCCTCACCACATTCAAAAATCTGCTTCTTTGATTGTTAGGATACCCCCCCACCCTGTCTTCCACTTTGCTCAGTCTCCCAGTCCATCTATGTGATCCACTTTGATACATTTGTCTACACAGGAAAGGTACTACTGTATATAAAAGCATGTTATGTCTGATCATTTGTGCACCTAGAACCCAGCTGATATCTTCAGTTTACTGTTTGTGAGAAGACTGGAAATCAGCTCATTTGGAATACAGTAAATCAATAATGTTAGATCTTTATTCTCTACACTGCAACATGTTGATAGTCAGTGTATGCTATTAACTGAGACAGTCAAATGACATTATTGATGAGGTTTTGTTAATTGCTAAATATTATGAAGCTAACAGGCTTGGAATAAACTCCACTGAGGGCTGGGCAGTGTAGCAGGTTAGCATTGTTGTCCTTATCCTTCTAAGACATTGATTTGCATTCAGTACAGACTGAAGATGCACCAAGTTGGTAGAACAAAACGATATAAGATTGCAAAAGCCAATTTCAAAACAGACATCGGGGTGTTTTTCTTTACCCAGATTGTAATTGGCGACTGGAAATGGTTGCCAGTAAGAGTGGCTGAGGCCAGGACACTGGACTCATTTAAAAACACCTTGATACTATGATGGGAAAACTATAGAAAAGGTATTCTGGAAGGATGAAGTCAAATGGGACAAAGGGCCTTCACTGACCTCTTGTGAACAGATGTTGTAAAAGTTTAAGAATAAACAACACAAATCTGGTCCACAGTCGCCATCAATGCCAAGTATAAAAACTGCCTATAATTTGACTCTAGATTCTTAATCTCACTCAAAGAGAAAAAATAAGACAGAATGGATTAGGAGAAAATAAATTGCTTTTACAATAGGAGATGCTCTTCGGAGGTTGAAGTTGATGCACGTTTCTGCAGCAGGTTAGAGAAAGCTTTACTCTGAATCTGTAAATGCTATACCAACGGTTTAAAAGTATCCCACTCATTATTAACATCACTCATCTTTGTAAGTATAAAAACTTGCATTTTAAAATCAGTGCATCAACAGGCGATTTGCAGAAGACATTGTTGCTTTCTTTTTCAGTGCTGTGAGTTGCTGGATTGTTTGGGGATCCCGTGGGTGAATGCAGCTGGTGAAGCCGAAGCTATGTGTGCCTACTTAAATTTTAACGGCTATGTTGATGGGTGTATCAGTAATGATGGTGATACCTTCCTGTATGGAGCTAAGATTGTGTACAGAAACTTCACTATGAACACAAAGGTATTTTGAAACACCCTATAATGTGACAGAGTTCATATCAGCAATCCTTTTTAATATTAAAGCATAATTGAGAATATTTGTATCACACTGAGAGCATTTTTAATCTCAAAAAATTTCTGTCACACTGATAGCATTTTCAATCTCTCCAATTGAGCCAGGCTGCCAAATTTCTATATGTTATCTCCTTTTTTAAAAGATTTGTTTTCTCTTTCTTGAATTGCCGTCTTGATGAGAGTGTGCGTGACTCGGGTAACTACAAAAAGGTCCCAGTAACCTCAACTTGGACTAAATAAGAAAGAGATAGAGCTGGTCTGTCCAGGGAAGCGAGGAACTTTCGAGAAATCTCAATGGATCATAATTCAACAACTGACAGACAGTATAAGGATAAATATGGTATATGTAGTCTGTAGCACATTGGTTAGAGCACTTGCCTCACAAACGAGTGGACCAGGGTTCAATTTTCAGGCAGGAGCAAAACATTAAGCAAGTTTCCTTCCTCCATATGCCTCTGTTTATCCAGCAGTAAGTAGGAACCTGGTTGTTAGTTGATTGGCGGATTGCTTTCCAGAGCAGAAAAATCATTAGGGCCGCATAAAAGATTTCCATTAATAAAAACACAAGGTCTAAATGTGAATGACATCAAAGCAATACCAAATATACTGTTTACTCTTCCAGTTCTGACGAAGAGTGGTGGACCCGAAATGTTGACTCACTTTCCTTTCTCCATAGATGCTGCCTGACCTGCTGAATGTTCCCAGCTCTCTCTGTTTTTGTAGCATATTGATTAAACTGGCTGGGTAGGGGCTTCCCAACCTAACACCCCAGTTCGATAGCCTGCCATGAGTGGTGATAGCTGCAAGCTAAATAGCCCTGCCTCACACCAAAGTCATGTGTAGATAAAGAAAGGGAAAATAATAAAGAATTAAAAGTAATTTAATTTGCGCCTCATAAATGGTCAAGGTTAATCGATATGCTGCCAGCCTGCTCAGCTAGTAGCACTCTTGCATTTGAGTCAGAAAGTTATGAGTTCAAGCTCCATGTCAGGGACTTGAACTCAGATAGTCTTGGCCAATATTCCAATGCAGTGCTGGGGGCATGTTGCATTGTTGGAGGTGCTGTGCTTCGGATGAGGCATTAAACCAAGCTACTGTCTGCTGTTCAGAAGAAGAGAAGAAAGTTTCCCTGCAACTGAGCCAGACTGACACATTTCCATAAGTTATTTGCTTTTAAAAAGATTTGTTTTTTCTTCCTTGAATTATCTCGTGCAGGGATTTGTAACTTCTGCAACTATTTTTTTTTAAAAAAGGCCCAAATCTGGACTCTTTGATTTCATTCAGTTTGGATTTGCAATGTTGTACTATACTGTTTTGTAAATAGAGTAGTTTAATATTTCCACAATCTTTTTATTAGGACCCACATGTGGACTGCTATAAAATGTCAACAGTGAAATCAGAGTTGGGTCTTGAGCGAGATTCACTCATTGGATTGGCCATTCTGGTTGGATGTGATTATCTGCCAAAGGTATGTAAAACCAGTGTAACCTCTGTTTTGTCACTTGTTTAATTTGCAATTATGTAACACAAGGTTTATTATTAAGAAAATTTGTATAATACCCTTCATATAGGATAGAATCTCAGAGCCCTGAGATCCTAACCTGTATGAAGGGCATTATGTAAACTCAAGCATTTTTTAATTTCTTACTCTATTAATGGTTTTATTTGACAAGTGGAAAATATAATTATAATAATCCTTGCATTTGATATATCGCTTTATCATGCAGGTCACAAGACGTCTCAATGCCCTTCACAAGATATACTGTAACGTGAATTGACTGTATACTTTGTATGCGAAGCACAGCAGCCATTTGCTTCCCACAAATGTCCAATGTCCCACAAACAGTCAGGTAATGAGTGACCAATTTTTTATTTGGGGGAATTGTTGGTCACGATACTGGGAGAAATTCCCTTCTCTTTTCAAATAGTGCCATGGGACCTTTAACTTGAACAAGCAGATTTAACATCTCCCGATGTCAATCTAATCTAGGGTATCTGTTATTGCAGTTTTCCCATAACTGTTGCCTCCTCTCATGGATCTTCTCATGGAGTCCGGTAGCGTTGTGCTTAGAGCACTTGCCTCGCAAGCGAGAGGACCTGGGTTCGATTCCCACATAGGGCGAGACCTTAGACAAATTTCCTTACTCCACATGCCACCTGCCCTTCCTCACAAATGTCCTAGAACACGTTGTTACCAATCAACTTCGCCCACACCTCTCTTCCCACTCCCTCTTCGAACCCCTCTGGTTGGGTTTCCGCCCTGCCCACAGTACAGAGATTGCGCTTGTGAAAGTCACAAACGACATCCTCTCTATCTGACCAGGTCTCCCTCTGCCTCCTTGTCCTCCTGCCACGTTTGACACAGTTGATCAGACCATCCTCCACCGCCTTTCCTCCCATCCACCTCAGTGGGATCGCACTCACCTGGTTCAAGTCCTATCTCACAAACCGCCAGCAGTACATCTGCACAAACGGCTTCTCCTCCCGCTCTCCCCTGGTTACCCGTGGTATACCCCAAGGATACATCCTTGGCCCCCTCCTCTTTCTGATCTACATGCTCTCTCTTGGGAATGTCATCCACTGACATGGGGTACATTTTCACATGTATACGGACGACACCCAACTCTATTTTTCCACCTCTCTTTGCGACCCCCCAGTCCCCTGATGTTCTGTCAGCCTGCCTGTCAGATCTCATGGGCTGGATGAGCTCAAATTTCCTTCAGCTGAACGTTGACAAGACGGAAGTCATACTTTTTGGCTCTCGTCAACGTCTAAAATCTCACGGTTCTCACCTCCTCCACCTACCCGACCTTCCCCTAAAACTCTCCGAACCCGTACGCAACCTAGGCATAAGGTTCAACCCCCAATTATCCTTCCTCCCCCACATCCGGTCCCTTATCAGCACCGCTTTCTTTCACCTCTGACGCATCGCCCGTCTCCGCCAATATCTCTCTCCGAAAGCCGCTGAAACCCTGGTCCATGCCTTTGTCACCTCTCGGTTGGACTACTCTAACTCCCTCCTCGCCGGCCTCCCGTCCACTACCATCCATAAAATCCAGATTATTCAAAACTCTGCCGCCCGCATTCTCACCCGCACCAAACTCTGCTCCCCGATTACCCCAGTCCTTGCCAGACTGCACTGGCTGCCTGTCCCAGAGAGGATCGACTTCAAGTTCCTCACCCTTGTCTTCAAATCCCTCCACTCCTCTGCACCTCCCTACCTCTCTGACCACCTCCCTCCTCAAAACAGTACCCGTTGCCTTCGATCCTCCGGGTCTGGCCTCTTCCGAGTCCTCCGCTCCACCCTCGGCGGTCGTGCTTTCAGCCACTATGCCCCGAGGCTCTGGAACTCACTCCCTTCGTCTCACTCCCTCCTTTCCTATTTTCAGGTCTGCTGAAGACCTTTTTTTTCGACCGCGCCTTTGGTCATCTTCCTCCCCCTTCCCCTGGCTCGGCCCCGGGATCCATTGCTGTGAAGCGCTCTGGGACGTCGTCTGGTGTGGAGGGCGCTATATAAATCCAAGTTGTTGTTTACCTAGCAGTAAGAAGGAACCCAGTTGTTAGTCAATCAGCGGATCGCTTTCTGGGAGTAATAATCCCCTTTTTAAAAAAAATGTTTTTGTGTCACTCAATCCACAACTGTTTGTGGGACACTTCTGTCGCAACTGGCTGCCTGGTTTTGCCCACAAAATACAGTCATTACACTTTACAGTGTATTCTGTGAAGTGCTTTGAGGCATCTCAACGATGTGGTAAGGAGCTATATCAAATGCAAGGATTATTATTATATTATTATCTCATCTGAAGTACAATACCTCCGAAATGCAACTCCAGCACTGAGTTGGAGTGTCAGCTTCGATTATGTGATTTAAAATCTCAATGTAGTAATGAAACCCACAACCTTCTGACTCAGAGGCGAATGTGCTATCTGAGCCATGCGGATCAATAGGGGATTACAATATCTTCTATGAAATAAATTACCAAAATAGGTGTGATACTGTGTTAACTCTTATCTTTATTGTATTATAGAATAAAATATAAATTTACATTTGTACAGTGTGCTATCACATCGGGAGGACTTCCCAAGGTAGTTAGAAACACAAACAAATCTTTTAAATGTATGAATTGGGGCCTTTGCATAGAAAGTGATGTGAGGTGTTGCTCTTGATCAAGTAGAGGACAAATTTAATCAAATGTTGGCACACGCAGTGTCCTGTTCTATTCTAGCATTTATTTATAATGCACTACATAATTCAGTCTGGCACCTCCATGTATATATATTCCTTCTTCACTGAATTTGTTTTAAAGCATGTTGAGGAACTTTCTGCTGTCCCTTTGTTTTTATTGTGGATATATGAGGTAAATGAATACTGCTCTCTTTGCTTTAGGTTGTGAGAGTGTTGCAGAATGCATAAGTGAGTTTTACTTTGGTTAACCTGATATGTCACCAATCAGCAACCATTACAGCAAGAAATAGAAAACGTACATTTCCATTTGCTTTATAATCCTTTGAAGAACATTGCTTACTTCACTATGTATAAATCTTAACTGGTGTCAGTAATGATCTGGGAGCCATAAAATTCTAACATAAAGAAAAATGCTTCCGAGCATTGTAAGATATTTAAGGAATAATCATCAGCCTTCAGAAAGAAGAAGTGCTCAAAACGGTTTTAGAAGCAATAGATCCTGTCTTTAAAAACTACAATTAGATTGGGAAAGGTAGCAAAGGTTAGCAAAGGTTATTGATAATCCATCAAACATCCAAATAATAGAAAGGTGAAACATTTGTTTTCAAGTTTGGTATAAGGAGTAAGACAGATCCCAGTTTAGAAACTGACTCATTAATTATTCTAGCTTCCGGCTCTGGGGACGAGAGTTTGAGGGTGTAAATACTCATGATAATCTGATTTCTGAATGTTTGTTACACTAGGGAGTTCCAGGAGTTGGGAAAGAACAGGCCATGAAGCTGATTGAGATACTGAATGGAGAAAGCCTTCTGCAAAGGTAAAATTGAAACTGCCCTGTGTCAGCAACTTAATTCTATCTTTCATTCAGCCATGTAACAGATACTTTTCCATGTAACAAAGTTACATTTTTTGTGAGTCAGGCTTGCCCGCGTGGTTGAATAGTTTGCTGACACTCTGAAACATGGCTATTTGGACAAGAGGGCTTCTGGCTCCCATAGAACTGTTTACCAGCATGAGTTATCACCTTAAGGAAGTCTTTTCCGAGAAGCCAATTTGAAAAGAGGGACTTAAAAAAAAAGCTTTTTTCACTACAAAGCACTAAGCACTACAAAATTATGATACGGCTAAGTCAAAATGTATTCCGGTAGATTGTAAAAATCACATAAAGAAACAAGTCAATGTAAGTTGAAATCACTGAATAGCAGGCACCAGGGATGACAGGATAGTTGAGTAAGTAATGGATAAGATTTTGTCCATTCAAACAAAACAGAGTGATTGAAAACTCAAGATTTTTCTGTGTTTTTGTTGTCCAATTTTTTTTGCTAAAATATGAATTCCCACAGAGATAGGAACGATAGCAAAGGTTATAGATAATCCATCAAACCCTGCTTACAATTAGCATTTTTTGATTCGGTCTTGGTTTGGAAGCCGCTTTTCCACAGTTCGAGCAAAAATGGATTCAGAATTTAAGAATTTTCCACGATTCTTTGTGATCTTTAATTAATAGTAATTATTAATAATAATAATTTGGTCACTCAATCCACGACTGTTTGTGGGACACTGCTGTGTGCAATTGGCTGCCATGTTTCACCCCTGCAAAATGTACAGTCAATACGCTTTACAGTATATTCTGTGAAGCACTTTGAGACATTTTGAAGACGTGATAAGGCACTATATCAAATGCAAGGATTATTACTATTATTATTTTCAATTTAATTTAAAAATAATAAAAAGGTGAAACATTTGTCTTCAAATTGGCAATCAAATGTTGAATTGGACTTTATACAACTTATGCCTGTTTGCCTGTAGCTCAAACTTGGCGTAAACCACATTAAATGTTATGGTTCCTGACTGATGCAACTTACGTGAGCTTTCCTGTATCTGCCAAAAAAAGTCAACTTTTTTTAAAAATTCTTGATACAAAAGGAAGTATATTTGTGTTTTTGTTTTTAAGTTTATATATTAATAGAAGCCTGTTTATTTACCTGGTAGACTTAACAGCAAAATAAATTGCATTATTCAACAGTATGTAATTATGTTCTAGGACTTGCACACTTTAGACTGAGTTTGATTCCCGGGCAGGGCGAAAAGTTGGGCAGTGTTCCTTACTCCACACACCTCTGTTTACCTAGCAGTAAGTAGGAACCCAGTTGTTAGTCGATTGGCGGGTCACTTTTCTGGGGATAATAATCCCTTCAAAATAAATAAATAAAAATAATAAATTGGTCACTCAATCCACAACTGGTTGTGGAACACTGGTGAGTGCAATTGGCTGCCGTGTTTTGCCCATAAAATATACAATCAATTTACTTTGCAATATATTCTGTGAAGTGCTTTGCGACATCTCGATGGCGTGATGAGGTGCTATATCAAATACGAGGATTATTATTAAGTTTGATATAAGAAGTAAAGATCCCAATTTAGCAGAAACTGACTGTCATTAACTCTTCTAGGTTCCGGCTTTGGAAGCGAGAGTTTGACGGCGCTGTTACTCATGATACAGTTATGAAAAAGAAAGTCCACTGCTCATTGTGTCAACACCCACGTAAGCACGTTCTAGATTTTTTCCAGGACATAAAAGCTTATATGAAAAGAAAAATTGCCAACAGCGACAATGAGCAGCGGGTTAATCAGCCTCCGAAAGAGGAAGATGCATCAACATTTCAAAGTGTGAATCTGCATCTGAGAATTGGAACAATTGAGCTGGAGAAGCTCCTAGTCTTGGAGAGTAGTCGTTAGTATGCTCACCTCGCAAGAGAGAGGACCCAGGTTCGATTCCCAGGTTGGGCGAAACCTTAGGCAGATTTTCTTACTCTACATGCCTCTGTTTACCTAGCAGTAAGCAGGAGCCCAATTGTTAGTCGATTGGCAATTGCTTTTCGGGAGTAATAATCCCTCCAAAATAATAATAATAATAATAATCCTTGCATTTGATATAGCGCTTTTCACATCGGGAGGACGTCCCAAAGCGCTTCACAGAACATACTGTAAAATGAATTGACTGTATATTTATGGGCGAACGCGGCAGCCAATTGCGCACAGCAATGTCCCACAAACAGTCGTAGATTGAAAGTGACCAATTTATTATTGTTTTGGAGGAATTATTATTAGGCTCTGTGTGGAGCAAGGAAACTTGCCCAAGGTTTCACCCTGTCTGGAATTGAACTTGGGTCTCTCACTTGCAAAGCGAGTGCTCTAACCACTGAGTACAGCCACTGAGCTATTTATAAATAAATAATAATAATGTGGTCAGTCCACAACTGTGGGACACTGTTGTGCACAACTGGCTGCCTCGTTTTGCCCACAAAATACAGTCACTACACTTTAGAGTATATTCTGTGAAGTGCTTTGAGACGTAAGGTAAGTGCTCAACGACATAAGGTACTAAATCACGTAAACAAAAATATTATTTACAGGATCAGACAAGCTTCAACATGGAAATAATGGACCTCCACAAGTAAAAAGATCTGGTATTGTTAGCACGGTTTGTGACTGAATCAATTTTGCTGCCAGTTTTTGTTTACCTCACATTTGGAAACTTGGTACATGTGATCCTGCATTCTGGCCTGAATGGACCTGCAGTTCTTTCCTAGTTATATAATCAATACTCACGGAAGATATATTTTTCAAAAAAGTTTTAAAAATTCTTCAGTAAAAGAGCAAAAGTCTAAGGCTTGAATCTTGTAAGTGAGGCAGATCTCAGTTGTGCAAGTTACGTTCCAGATAGTCTTCTGAAAATTGTGAAAATGTTATCCAATAATTTGTTGCTAATCTTGTTTCTGCTTTGTTTTTTTTTACTTCTATGTTCTGTGCAGGTTCAGCTCAGGATCAGGAGCACAGAGGTTGTGAAATTTGTGGAAGCACCCAGTTATGTGAGATGAAAGGCAATGACTACTGCTGTCCTTGTGACTGGCATCAGGCTGAGCAGGACAGGAAAGTTAGTGCTGTGGAGAACAATCTCAAAAAGTGAGTCCTTGTGTGTAGTTCTGAGACACAATTGGTATCGCTCTTTTCATGTCAGGAGGAAATCTCAAACCGCTTCACCGGACTTAGTAACCATAGGAAACAGTGAAGAGGATTGTAGCCGACTGCAGGAGGACATAGACTAGTGAAATGCGCAGACTCCTGGCAGATGATGTTTAATGCAGAGAAGTGTGATGTGATGCATTTTGGGAGGAAGAATGAGGAGAGGCAATATTCAATAAATAGTACAGTATTATAGGGGGCAGAGAGACCTGGATGTTTCAGCGCCTTGGGACGTCCTCCTGATGTGAAAGGTGCTATACAAATGTAATCTTGTTGTTTTTGTCTTTGAAGATAGCTGGACAGGTTGATAAAGCTTTTTTTAAAAAAAAGCATATGAGATATTTGACTTTATAAATAGAGGCATAGAGTACAAAAGCAAGGAAGTTCTGCTAAATGTTTATATGTCATGGTTTGGCCTCAGCTGGAGTATTGTGTCCAATTCTGGGCACCACACTTTAGGGAGGATATTGAGGCCTTAGAGAGGGTGCAGAGCATATTTACCAGTATGGTACCTGGGCCTTTAGTTATGTGGAGAGACTAGAGAAGCTGGGCTTGTTCTCCTTATAGCAGAGAAGGTTAATGGGATAATTAATAGAGGTGTTCAAAATTATGAGGAGTTTTGATAGAGTAGATAGGGATAAACAGTTTCCACTGGTAGGTGGGTCAGTAACCACGGGACATAGGTTCAAGATAATTAGTAAAAGAACCAGAGGGGAGGGGAGAAATTTTTTTACACAGATAATTGTTACGGTCTGGAATGCACTGCCTATATGGGTGGTGCAAACAGATTCAATAAGAACTTTCAAAAGAGAATTGGACAGGTAATTGAAGAGGAAAAATTTGCAAGGATATGGGGAAAGTGTGGGAGAGTGTGACTGCGAAAAGAACTGGCACAGGTACGATGGGCGGCATGGCCTCCTTCAGTGCTGTAATATTCTATGATTCTACGACTTATTCTACGACTTATTGGAAAGTGTAGGGACTGTAAATTTTGGTGGCGAATGGGGCAACCATTTTGCATAGAGCAATATCCCAAACAGCCATGACCCATTTTTTAAAATTTGGGGATTGTTGGCCAGGACACTGCGAGAAACTTTCTGAATCTCTGAAGTTATATCTCACATGCGTACATTTTCTTTTAAATCATCCTTATGTATATCAGACTTCTATGTGCATCCTGAGATACATTCAGGAATTTGTAGAATCAATTATTTACAACTAGTAACTATCTGTTAATGACCGACTAGACTTTCTTGGAGGCAGGGACTCATTCCAGCTGAACTCTCCTGGCAATAGATTGTTGGGAATTGAGTCAACCCTCTATGGCAGTCTCGATAGTCTGGTTCCCAAACTCCAGGGTATTACTGATGACAGACCAGCCAGCCTTTTCTTACCATGGTTGTTTGAGGCAAACAGTATAACAATTGAAGGGAATTTTGATAAAAAAGTAAATAACAGTACTGTGTATTTAAAGGAAAATGTAGTAACCAATTTGCACACAACAATGTCTCTCAAGCAATCATGAATAACCAATTTATCCAGAGAATTGTTGGCCAAGACCCTGTAAGAAACTTCAATGGGACTTTTAATGTGCACCTGAACAAACAGCAGGAAACCTGATTCAATATTTCATCTAAATGAAGCAGCTCTGTCAATGCAGCTCTTCCCAAGAACTGCACTGGAGTACCCGCCTGGACTGGCTCTGGTCCTGACATTGGATCTACAGCCTTCTGACCCAGTGACTAGAGTAATGTCAAATGGGTCAGGCTGAAATATAAGAAAGGATTAGCACTAAATCCCAGATTGTTTTTTGCTGGGAGGGGGAGCGGATAAAGAGTAGGAGTGCTTTTTTTTTAATTGTCTAATTCTAAGGGCTCCTCCATGGAAGTCTGTATAATCTTTCATTTTAGCTGCTTAACTCTGCGTTAAATTGATGTAAATTGTGTGCTGTTTCACTTCACTGTCATTGTGATTCACCTGTCCGCAGATCACATGCCGCATTTTGTTTTCCCTCTCCAAGTATTTCTTCAACAAGTATTTACTAAAACACAGCAAATAGTCCATTGGTTTACAGAGAAACATTTTTTTTATTTTGTAAGGATGCTGGTCACAAAAATCATCACAGAGTGCTTTACAGTGGATGTGTGGGAGCTTGGAGGGGAGGTGGCAGACTTTTAAAATGTTAAATTGGCCTAAATTGGGATTCAGGTGGAGTGCATAGATTCACAGAAGCTCCGCAAATAATTAACAAGGAAATTGTACTTTTTAATTCATAAATTCCTCTTGTAAGTATTCATGAGCATCAATAGCTGCCGTATGAATTGTTTTCTTTCTCTTTCAGAAAAGCAAGAGTTTGTGTACACTTTCCATTTGAGGAGGTAAAACAGAAAACCTATTCTTACAATGTTCAGCTGCATGTGAAATAGACTCGCAGCAAAGATTAGCTTTTGTTCCTTTCTATTTCAGGTAATCAAAGAATTTCTTGTCACTAAAGACAAGATGATTCAGAACATTCACTGGAGGAGGCCAAATCTACTTTCCATTCAGGTAGACAATAATGTTTTGAAAATACGTGGGTCAAAATTGTCATATTGGGATCAAAACTTCAATTTTCACAAATACCAGAAGTAGATTGTAGCAAAGTTACTGCAGATCAGTGTGAATCATATCTGCTTCCAGGCAGGATTCAATATTTGTAAATCTAGTACAAAATTGAGATGCGCAACTGCCCCGGAAAAAAATCTCCCCCCTACTCCCTCTCTGCTGCCTTGGGGTTATCGGAACCCCTCCCACTCTGGGCTTCCTCCCACAGTGATACCTATCCTCCTCGGTCACTCTCCTCGCTCCGCCCCCACCTCTGCTAAATCATCCTTCTACTCCAAGATAATCTAGGAGGCCAAGGACAACCCCAGGCTCCTCTTTTCCATCACCAACCGGCTCCTCTGCCCAACCTCTCACCCTTCGCCCATCCTCTCCTCCAACTTCAACTTCAAAGAGATGCTGGATTCCCTCAAAACCAAAGTCGAGGGGTTCCGCTCAGCTGCCTCTGCCCTTCCGTCTACTATCCCCTCCCCATCTCCCTCTCACACCTCGGCCCCTACCCATCCCTGTTTCCACACCTTCGAACCTGTCTCTCACCACCACTATAACCCACATGAAACTGACCACCTGGTCCCTCAACCCCATCCCTACCCCTCTCCTTTTCTCCCAGCTCCACCTCCTTGCCCCCCAAATTCAACCAAGGACATTTTGTCCATCTGCAATCAAGGCTCCCTGTTTCCTTGTCGTCCTTGACCTCTCTGCTGCCTTCGATACCTTTGACCACTCTATCTTGCTCCACCGCCTCTCCTCTCACCTCAACCTTCACAGTTCTGTCCTTGAATGGTTCAGATCCTACTTCTCACACTGTCCACTTCACCTCCACAAACGGTTTCTCCTCTAGCCCCTGCACCATCTCGTGGGAATCCTCAAGGCTCTGTCCTTGGTCCCCTCCTCTTCAATATCTATTTGCTCCCTATCATCTGCAGACATGGGGTCAACTTCCACATATATATGGATGACACTCAACTATCATTCTGCCTCCACCTTTGAATCCAGGATCACTGCTGTCCTACCAGAATGTCTGCCAGGCATCAAGTCCTGGATGAGAGCTAACTTTCTACAGTTGAACATCAACAAGACCGAGGCTCACCTGATTGGCTTCCGTCAGTGCCTCCATACCTCAGGCGCTGACAGTATCACCATCTATGGTTGCACACTCCACCTTGCTAAGCCAGTCCGGAATCTTGGCGTCTTGTTTGACCCTCAGCTATCCTTTCTACCCCACATCCGTGCCATGTCCCGCTCAGCTCTGCCACTGTCTCACACCAGAGGCCACTGAGATCCTCATACACGATTTCATTACATCGAAGCTTGACTATGCAAACTCATTGCTTGACAGCCTCCCCAACTCCCTCCTCCATAGACTGCAGACCATCCAGAACTCTGCAGCCCGTGTCCTTTCCCGTACCAGGCTCTGACCCTATCACCCTCAATCTTCACCCAAACCCAATGGCTTCCTATCACACAGAGGATACAGTTCAAGATCCTAGTCCTCACCTGCAAAGGTCCATGGACTTCGATCACCCGGCTTCCCCCCCCGCCTTCCACCCTGCCCGATCCCGACCCCCAGCTCGGCTCCGAAGCACTGACAGTCTAGCACTTTGGGACGTTCTCCCAACATGAAAGGCGCCATTTAAATATAATTTTGTTGTTTTTGTTGTTCCCCCCTATCTCTGTGATCTCCTAACCCCCTACCATCATGCTCACCCCCTACCATCATGCTCGCTCCCTACGCTCAACGGGCTCCAGCCTACTTCAAATCCCCCGTCTCACCCGCCCTACCATTGCCGTACTTCTGCCACTCTGCCCCCATCCTCTGGAATTCCATCCCGCAGTCCCTCCACCTCACCCCCTCCCTTGCCTCCTTCAAGACCCATCTCAAGACCCTTCTGCTCAACCCAGCTCAGGTGCGAAACACTGATTGTCCAGTGCCTTGGGACATCCTCCTGATGTGAAAGACGCTATCCAAATGTACTTTCTTGTTGTTAGAAATGGTGATGGCTGAATGGGTACATACACCACATGGTGTTGGACTGAACCAACAACAATTTGAATTTATATAGAGCTCCTCATGCAGGATAGCGTCCGAGAGCCCTGCAGACCTGGAGGATAGAATGCTTTTCTTTATAGAGAGAATTTGTCAAAACAGAGACAAATTTTTATTATTAGAAATAAAGTTCACAGGGACCTTGCATGTTTAACCAGCCCTTTTTCTTAATTCTCCCAGAATTTTAACAAGAAAAAAATGGAATGGCCAAAACACTACACATCTGAGAAAGTATTGGTGTTACTCACGCACCACGATATAATGGAGAGAACATTGGGAAAGCGAGATCCTTGGCATTTACAACCAATAAGGTATTAGTTAGTAAATTATTAACTGTTACTGAAATATGTAATGTGTTGAATAACTTGCTGTCACTTGCTCTGTTTACTGGGCACTGTTGAATTTCAAGTAACTCACAAGGTACAGATTGTGCTGGGTTAATTTGAATAGACTAATCTGACTGTTGTACTGCATTTATGGAAATCTTGTGTTTGCAAATGGCACACTTCCTGATTGATAGATGAGGTTGGCGTGGGAAATAGTGAAGGGATTGTAGAATAATTCAGGAAGACATAAACAGCCTAGCAGAATGGTGGCAAATGAAGTTGAATGTAGGAAAATGTAAATTAGTTCATTTTGGCATGAAAAACAAAGCAGCCTTCAATAGTCTAGTTGATGGGAATCTAAGAGGAGTAGAGGAGCAAAGAGATTTGGGGATTCAAATCCACAAATCTCTAAAAGTAGTTACGCAGTTAGATGAGATTATATATATAAAAAAGGCCAAATGGCGTCTTGGGATTTATCTCCAGAGGGACACAATATAAAAGTGAGGAGGTGATGTTGAATTTATCCAAACCTTGATTAGAACACATTTGGAGTATTGTATCCAATTCTGGTCTCCACACTATAAGAAGGATATGACAGCAATGGAAAGTGTACAGGATGATACCAGGACTGACAGATTACTGCTATCAGGATAGACCAGATAGGTTGAGCCTTTTTTTCGCTAGAGAAGAGACATTTAAGAGGAGGCACCTGATAGAAGTGTACGAAATTTTAAAGGGGTTGATAAGGTTAACATAACTAAGCTGTTTCTGCTGGTTGAGAAGTCCATAACCAGCAGATACAAATACACAACAACAACAAGATTACATTTGTATAGCGTCTTTCACATCGGGAGGACGTCCCAAGGCGCTGGACAGAGTACAGCATTTCAGACCCGAGCTGGGGTCAGGGGGGGAGGGGGGAGGGGAAGGGCGGTGGCCGATGACATGATCGAAGAGGAGGGACTTGAGGTGGGACTTGAAGGAGGCTAAGGAGGGGACGAAGTGGAGTGACTGGGGGATGGAATTCCAGAGGTTGGGGGCAGAGTGGCTGAAGGCTCTCCCACCAATGGTGGGGCGGGTGGGTCGGGGGACTTGGAGCAGGCAGGAACCGTCTGAGTGGAGGGAATGGGTGGGTTGGTAGGGGATTAGGAGGTCGCAGAGGTAGGGTGGGGTGAGGCCATGGAGGGCTTTGTATGTGAGGACCAGGATCTTGAACTGGATCCTCTGAAGGATAGGGAGCCAATGGAGTCGGGCGAGAGTGGGGGAGATGGGGTCACGGAGTTTGGTGCGGAAGAGGACACAGGCTGCAGAGTTCTGGATTATCTGCAGCCTGTGGAGGGAGGAATTGGGAAGTGCGACAAGCAGTGCATTTGCATAGTCGAGCCTGGAGGTGATGAAGGCATGAACAATAAGATAGTGACAAAGGAGATGAAAAAGACAATTTAGGAGGAACTACTTTACGCAGAGAGTAGTGAGACTGGAACTCGATGCCTGAAGCCTTGGTTGAATTAGATGATAAAGATGCCTTCAAGAGGAAGCTAGACCTTCACAGGGGAAAGGGGAATAAAAGGGTATGGGAGGGAGTAAAAAAATGGGTGGAGAGTCATGCTGGAGTATAAACCCTGACCCAAATAGGGTTGGGCCAAGTGGCCTGTTTCCATGCTGTACATCCTTTGTAAGTCTTTGACACTTTACAAAAATGAAGATTCAATTTCAGAGGATTAAAACAAGATTAGTTTGAATGACGAAGACCTACCTTGACATCCTTCCCTCACATAATCCAGTATCCTAGCCTTAACCACCCTTTCTGGAAACTGTCCCGAGTCGCTAATTCCCTCAGTAACAAATTACCCTTCAGCAAATTACTTTATTCCATTTCAACAATCACCCTTTAATTTGACAACAATTTAGAACACAACTGTTTATAACTCTTTCACTAACAGAGATGGTTTCTGAAGTGGTCGATTGCTCAGCGCTCCGAGACACTATCCTGCATGAAAGGAGCTGTATAAATGCAAGTTGTTGTAAAATGGTCAGCTCTGTAAATTTTCCTCTTGTTAGGATGTACTTTAATTATAGTTCTAAAATGCAGCACGTCTTACTGGGCCTCTCACCATTATAATCTGCCACTGGAGTTCCATAGGAATTCACACACTTGTTTATTTTCTGTTCAGAATCGTCAAGACAAGAATTCGCAATGGAATCCCTTGTTTTGAAATTCTATGGGAAAAACCAGGTTTGTATCTTATTTTTTATCAGTTTTAGTTTTTAGAAGTTAAACAGGGAGTAGAGTGGTGGTGATGGTGGTAATAAGAGGGTGCTGTGTGGTGGTGTAATGAGAGGGTGGTGGGGGCGGTGGTGTAATCGGGGTGGTGGGGGCGGTGGTGTAATCGGGGTGGTGGGGGCGGTCGTGTGATCAGAGGGTGGTGTGGTGGTTTAATTAGCGTCCATCTCCATCATTGTGCAATACTCCAACATGCTATCCTGCATGAAGGGCACTATAAATGCAATATGTTGTTGTTGGTGTGTGTGTGTTTGTGAACAGGAAGTGGTGGTTGTGTGTTTGTGAACAACACAACTACCCTCCCTCTCCCCCTGGTTTGGGGTCAGACTCCACCACTGTTAAGCTCTCCGGAACGCTACCTGGCGTGAAGGGCGTGATTATAAATGCAAGTTGTTGTTGTTGAACTGATGCGATCAACCACGGAGCAATAAGACCTAATCTTGGAGTCCTGTAGCTCAGTGGTTAGAGCACTCGCTTTGCAAGTGAGAGGCCTGAGTTCAACAGTTTCAACCAAAAACAATAATTAAATTGGTCATTTTCAATCTACGACTGTTTGTGGGACATTGCTGTGCGCAATTGGCTGCCGAGTTCGCCCACAAATATACAGTCAATTCACTTTACAGTGTGTTCCGTGAAGCGTTTTGGGACGTCCTCCCGACGTGAAAAGCGCTATATCAAATGCAAGGATTATTATTATTATTAGTTTTGCAGCCACGGGAGCTGAATTACCAATCTGGGACAAACAATCTGAGAGAATCACAGCAAGTTCCTGCAACAGCAGTAAATGTTATTGATACATGGTGTTGCCCTAGCAGAAGGCTTCACCTGTCTGAGCTTGCTGTGAGTTCCCTTTCAAGCCTCACTTTCTGGTTTAGATGTAAAAAAATACCTGCAAGATGGTCTGGTTATGTCTGTGATAGGCCTATCAATCTTGAATCAAATGTTTTAAAATTAGAAATAATTGAAATAAATTAAATTTAAAAACATTTTTAATAGGAAAGAAGAGAAAAATAATTCTTGCATTTTATATAATCATAAATAATAATATTTAGCACCTATAACCTCAAAATGGCCCAAAGTGCTTCCCAGTTCTTGGGACGTCCTCTTGACGTGAAAGGAGCTATACAAATGTAATTTGTTGGTGTAAAGTGTAGTTAATGCATCTTTGTAGGGCTAACACAGCAACTAATTTGTGCACAGCAGTCGCATAAAACAACAACAACAACAAGATTCCATTTATAGAGCGCCTTTCACGTCAGGAGGACGTCCCAAGGCGCTGCACAGTTGGGTCATGACCCGAGCAGGGGGGAAATGGTCAGGGTGAGGGGAGGGAAGGGAGGGAGAGAGGAGGGGGGAAATGGTCAGGGTGAGGGGAGGGAAGGGAGGGAGCGAGGAGGAGGAAGAGAGTCGAGAGGGGAGCTGAAGGCACGGTCAAAGAGAAAGGTTTTGAGACCGGCCTTGAAGGAGGAAAGGGAGGAAGCAAGGCGAAGGCACTGGGGGATGGAGTTCCAGAGCCTCGGGGCTGAGAGGCTGAAGGCCCGACCACCGATAGTAGGGCGGTTGGGGCGGGGGACGTGGAGCAGACCGGAGCCAGAGGAACGGAGGTTACGGGCAGGTAGGTAGGGGGATAGTAGGTTGGAGAGGTAGGAGGGAGCAAGGCCGTGAATGGCCTTGTAGGTGAGGATGAGGATCTTGAAATCAATCCTCTGGGGGATGGGGAGCCAGTGGAGGCGAGCGAGGGTAGGAGTGATGTGGTCCCGAAGCCTGGTGCGGGACAGTACACGAGCTGCAGAGTTCTGAATGACCTGCAGCTTGTGGAGGGAGGTGCCGGGAAGGCCGGCGAGGAGAGAGTTCCCATAGTCCAGCCTTGAGGTGACAAAGGCGTGAACCAGGGTTTCAGCAGCGTGAGGGGTGAGGTAGTGCCGTAATCTGGCGATATTCCGGAGGTGATGGAAGGCGGTGCCAGTTGTGGTGCGGATGTGAGGGAGAAAGGACAGCTCAGGGTCGAACAAAACGCCGAGGTTCCTGACTGGCTTTGAGAGGTGGAGAGTGCAGCCTTGGATGCTGATGGTGTCAGCGCCTGAGGTGCGGAGGCGCTGACGTGAGCCAATCAGGAGGGCCTCGGTTTTTCGCACGTTGAGCTGAAGAAAGTTGTCTCTCGTCCAGGACTCGATGTCGGACAGGCAGGCTGTCAGGACATCGGTGGTCGTGGAGTTGAGAGTAGAGGAGGAAAGGTAGAGTTGGGTGTCATCCGCATACATGTGGAAGTTAACCCCATGTTTGCGGATGATGTCACCAAGGGGGAGCATATAGAGGGTGAAGAGGAGGGGACCGAGGACAGAGCCCTGAGGGACACCACATGAGACAGTACGGGGGGTGGAGGAGAAGCCATTCGTTGAGACGAAGTGAAGACGGTGGGAAAGGTAAGAGCTAAACCATTCAAGGACAGTGCCTTGAAGGTTGAGGTGGGAGGACAAGCGGTGGAGTAGGATAGCGTGGTCGACCGTATCGAAAAGCCATAAAACGAATGACCAATTTTTTTTATCTAGAGAATTCTTGGCCAGGAGACCCAGAGAAACTCTTCTTTCCAACTGGAGTCTTGGGATTTTTAACTTCCACCTGAACAGGCAGATGGGAATATCAGTTTAACATTCCGTCTAAAAGATGACATAGTTCAAGTCTACTGATCTGAATCTGAACTAGTGGTTGGTTTCCTAATAGCAGTAGTTGCCTCTCCGATGTTTTAGCTTGTAATCCATTTTCACAAACAGTTTGTGGAAAATGCTTCAATTCAGCTGTAATTTGGAAGCTGGTTCTCTTTATTGTTGAAAACTAGCTTCCAAATTCTGACTGAATTTAAGAATTTTCCACAGTTCTGCTTAATCTTAAATGACAAGACAACGGGGTTTTTGCAGGCTTCAATTTCTTCTTGGAAACACGACAGCACCATCTGCTGCTATTACTGTGCATCAGCCAGTGAGGTTTCACCCTTAGTATCACCATCACCTCCAGGGTCTCACAGAGACTTGGGGAGCTGGCTTAAAGGACAGATAATGCAATATCTAAATATCTACCTTCTAAGCTATAGTTTAACTAAACTTGTAGCTAACCATTTGCTTGGCGCTTATTAATCATCTGTCTGTTTGTAGCTATTTTGGAAGTAATTGTACATCACTTACATAACACCTGTCCACAGAATCTAAGTCCATGGATATAACAGCCAATTTATCAGATGTGGAATTATAATTTCTCAAACAATTTGGTGTTTTAGTTTGAATTTCCAGAGGAATGCAGCCATCAATGCAAGCTACCCAAGCAGAGACACAGCAACTCAAACAGTTAATGAGTACAGTGTTTTGTTTATTTTCCCAGAAAACTATGTTTACTCGGATGATCAATCTGAAGATTCTCAGTATTCTGTAACAACAATAGAGGATCAGCTTCTCTTTCAAGCTGCGTACCCAGATGTCAGTGCTCTGTTTCATAGACAGAAAGCTGAAGCTGAGGAGAATAAGCAGAAAAGTAAGTAACAATATTACAGTAGAAGATTTATGGTCATGTTTAAATATTACTTTAGAAAAAGACATTTTAACTAAATAATCTTTATATTTACCTGTAACTGAAGCATGTGGAGTGTGAACTTTTGCTGCCTTCTCCTCACTTCCTGGAAGACACACCTGCTGACTAATTCCCACAATGTCTTGTTGAAAACCACAAGCTGGGTTATTATAATAACAGACAGGAAAACATGTGCAGTTTCGCAGCACAGTGGCACAGCTCATTCAGGTGTGGAATATGGGTTTACAACCACTGCAGCACCACCAAGGTCACAGTCTACACTTGCTTGTTGTTGAAAAAAATGACGAGCAGGCAATTCGCTACAAGAAAAAAGAAATGACACCACCTGATGGTGACATATCCTTGCCCACACCCCCACCCCCCACCCCCACCCTTTGAATACTGATGGTGCATGGCTAGGGGATGAGCATGAAATCATCCTAATTTTAGTGTGACATTTGGTTAGGTTGTAATTCATACAGAAACTGCATTAAACTGCAAAGATTGTGAGGACTCGCTTTGAAGAGATTTCTTTCCTTGTGTTTTCTCACAGGTAAGAGCAAAAGGAAAGGCAAGGCAAAGCCAGAGTCTGATGAACTTGCAGAGCAACTGTCTCAGATGAATCTTCAGCTCCCCAGTAGTGGTGAAGAGAGTAACCAATCTGTTCAAAAGCGTGTAAATCAAAGAGACAATCCGATCAAATGGTCTCATCCCAATCCTATTGGCTCTTGCACTCTGTTGCCCAAGTTCTCCTGTGAAGATCCTGCAAGTGAAATGGCACAAATTGCCATTAATAGCATTACAGAATTAGGAAAAGCTAACGGTGAGCCTTTAACCCTTTTAGCAGCAGAGAACAAACTTGATGTCTGTGCCTTGTCCCCTTCTATGTCTGTGTTGGTTGCAGAGTTGAATTTGAGTGGCATTGACTGGGGGGCTACTTCATTTGGCACACCAACAAACGCTCAGGTTGCTAGCAAAATAACTGAAGGCTGTTGTGGATCTTCAACTTTTACTAATGAATTGAAGGAGGACAAGGTATTGAAGGTAAATACTGCATCATCAAAACATGAGCCTGTTCAAATCAATACTAAACAATTACTCCATAAGGATATGTCTGGGCAGCAAGATCCAGAGAACATGTCTTTAAGAGATCGAATTCTACTGAAGAATTCACATTCATTTTTTTCCCTTGGATCGAGATCCAATTCAGACGCTGGCCATATCCTGCTCTCTGCTGTTCAGAAAGGTGGTCCTGAGTTTGTCAGTGAAGATAAACCCATCTGCAATATTAAACCTCTGAGTAACAACAAAATGATCCTAGGCAGTAATATTTTAGAAAAACAACATACTGAGCAAGAGCAAATATTAATTCACAGTTCTGAAGAGGATGCAACAACAACAGTGAAACCATTTACTTTGTTGGACAAGCAGATTCCCAGAGACTCAAGTGAGAAGAACTTTGGAGCGCATTCCTTCCAAACATTAGAATCAAATAATGTCCCATTTAAACTGCAGAAAAGTAAAGTAGAGAAACCACACAGAGAAAAACTGGTGGCTAAAAATATTCAAACAAAGAACAGTGTCTGTCACAAGGTGTATTCCTCCAGCGATGATAGCGATAATGAGAACTCGGGACACCGAAAACAAAAGCCTAGCATCAAATCTCGGACTGCAGTAAGGACTGTGGAAAAGTGCAGCCAAGCAATGTCTTGGCGTGTCAACGTTAAATCCAGCTGCAGTAAAGCAGGTTACACTGGTGTTAATACTGGAAGCGTTAAACCTAAAGTAGCAAGCTATAGTAGTGCAGAGAAAAATGAGGAAGCACAGCTAATGTACAATGATAGCAAGGCTACCACCGCAAACACATCTCAGAACAAGTTGTCTGCAGTGTGTGAAAGTAGCATTGTGCAGCAGTGTAAGGCCGTACAGCTAAAATCATGTCCAATCAATGTGGATACTTCTAACTTGAGTGATGGAGAAGATTCAGTTATACTAATAGACAGCCCTCTGCCACTATCAGAAAGGCTGAAGTTTCGACTCTAAAGCATTTGAACTGTCAATCAATTAGAATAAAATTGAGATTCTGGTATTCTGTGTACATCTATGAATTTGCGTGTTTTTTATTTGATTTTCCATATTGGCTCTAATTTGTTTACAAATGTATATGTTTTTCAAGATGTTCCAATAAAATGGATAATCAAATTCTCTTTAAAATGCTGGCAAGTACAATTTATTTTGAACCCTTACGTACATATTGAAGTGGAACTCACAAGATGTAGAATTGATAAGAATGATATTCCTTGTTCTGTATACTGCCATTTGATCCATAGAAACAAATTAGTTTCCATCAAATAATTGAAGTGAAATCATGCGCATTTAGAGGATGTTTTTCATATTTCAAGTTTCCAAAAAGAACTGGTATATATATCTGTTTGGGAGGAGTAGATGGATTTATACAAGGTAGGTTTAGACTGGGAATAAATACTTTATCATGATTTCTGCACTGTTGGATCCACAAATAAAATTGGTCATTCATACATGCCTTCATTACATCCATGCTGGACTATGCCAACTCCCTGCTTGTCGATTTTCCCAATTCTTCTCTCCACAAGCCGCAGATCATCCAGAACTCTACGGCTTGTGCCCTCTCCAGCACCAGGCTCTGTGACCCCATCACACCCACCCTCGCCCAGATCCACTAGTCCCCCATCCCTCAGAGGATCGAGTTCAAAATCCTCGTCCTCACCTTCAAGGCCCTCCATGACCTTGCCACCTCCTCCCTTTCCGACCTGCTTACCCGCTTATCAACCTATCCGTTCCCTCCGCTCAGCAGGCTCCTGCCTGCTCTCTGTCCCCCGCCTGGCCTGCCCCACTATCGGTGGTCGGGCCTTCAACCTCTCTGCCTACCACCCTCTGGAACTCCATCCTACATTCCCTTTGCCTCGCTCCCTCCCTTTCCTCCTTCAAGACCCTCCTCTTCGACCGTGCCTTCAGTCATCCTCCTAACCTCTCTGCCCTCCCACCTCCCTGATCCCAACCCCACCTCAGGTTGGGTGTTCAGCACCTTGGGACGTCTTCCTGGCATGAAAGGTGCTTTACAAATGTAACTTTGCATTGTATTCATATCATGGTTGTTTGCTGTGTGGAAAATTGGCCATTGCATTTGTCTACAAAATAAACAGTCACGACACATTACAATAAATTCTGTAAAGTATTTTGAGATGGCCTCCTGACATGCAGGGATTATATATGTAGAACCTTGCTCAGAAGATGTGGATGGGATAGTCTCAACAGTAAAGTCGGCTTTTGGGCTCTGTCAAAGTAGCAGGTTTACTGGTTGGAATGGCCTTTCCTCATTCTTTGTATTCTTATTTGTAAGGTTTGTGTGGCTCATTAAATGGGCAACAAACATTAAGCATTCCTAGTGTTTGTAATAATAATAATCCTTACATTGTACGTGCTCAGTGTCAATCAGACTGTTGGGGAACACCAGCATTGGCATGTTAAATGCAGCAAATGTGAGTGAGGTCACGTCAGCCTTTGTTTATGGTGCTGTTATAAGTATAACTAGGCCTGAAGGAATGCCTGCTGAGGAAGTAATGTCACATAGAAGTGTCGAGAATCAGAATGACCCTGATTGCCGGTACAAATTGCAGTTTAAGACCATTGGCACTCAATTGAAATGGTTCAATGAAGCTGGACAGGTCTCTTTAAATCCCAGGGGAGAAAGATACAATTTGTTCATTTGTGTTGTGTTACTGTCGATACCTTGGTTAATTCAAATTAAAGATAAATCCTAGGCTCATGAACAATTAACAACCTGAAAATTTCATTCCAGTAAAACATTATTTTGTATAATTGGCTGTATCCAATTCCTGTCTAAACTGAAATAACAAATTGACCAAATCAAATGGTAAATTACTTCATTTAAAAAGTATTTAATTTTTTCTAAAGATAGCTGGAGATAGTTTTCAATGTTTTTTTTTTAACTTTCCCAATTTTAAGAATCAAGAGAGATATCTGAAATGCACACTTAGGCACAGACTAGCTGTTTCCACGGCAATTCAAGATGAATCGCAGCATTTGTGGATATTTGTGTTGCACATAATAACAGTTGCACATAAGAACAATCAGCTTGCTGGTTTCTGCTGTGCAATATTGGATTGTGATGTTTTATAAAAGGTTTAAATAATGACCAGAAGCACTTTTCTTTGTCGTGAAGCAGTCTCATATAAAGTATTGCAAATGCTTCTGTAATCTTTGCAAAATAATACTTTGACTTTTGAATACTAACTAATTTTTTTACAGTCAGATAAATACAACTAATCAAATTAATGTCCCATCACGTTTTATAAACTTATCTTTTATACCATTTCTTCAGAATACAATATATCTACATTACCAGCCTATTGACCCAGCCATTTCTTTTATTCAATGAACATCATCCCTGCCCTTCCCTTCCACCCGAGCATCAACTTTCATCCATTCTGTTCCCGCTCTCTGGAACTCCATCCCAGAATCCCTCCGACTCGCCCCCTGCCTCCTCACTTTCAAGCCAAAACTTTCCTTTGACTGGCAAGTCAAAGAGTTGACTGGCATCTTCTCAAAATAATTGTAGATACTTACCCCCAAAAATACACAGTGACAGAAATCTGCCTCTGTATGCATGTCCTATTATCTGGATTGTCGAGTCCTGTAGCAAAGTAGTTAGCACACTTGCCTTGCAATCGCAAGGACCAGGGTTCGATTCCTGGCAGAACGAAACCTTTGGCAAGTATCCTTACTCCACACTGTTTAGTTAGCAGTAAGTAGAAACCTCGTTGTTAGTCCATTGGCTTTCCAATAGTAGCTATCCCTCAAAAAAATTTTAGTCACTCACAATTGTTTGTGGGATACTGCCGTGCGCAATTAGCTGACCATAAAATGCAGGCAATTCACTGCAGTACATTCTGTAAAGCGCTTTGAGACGTCTCAAATACATGATAAGGCACTATATGAAATGCAAGGATTATTATTATGTAATATTATTTTACTATCTTGTTATCTCAAATCTGAAGTTTCTTATAGTCTTGAAACCATTATCTTAAACTTTAAGATTGTTTGGAAAATTCTTTGATTCAGTTCTAACTCTGAAGCCATTTTTCTTCAGTAATGTGATAAAACAGCAGCAAATTACATTTTCAAATTTGATGTTTAAACTTGAGGATAAAGAAACGTCACTTATATGAAGCAGAGGGAGCAGGAAAATTAAAAAAGAATCGAGGATTGAGACCAGAATGGAAAGATAATAGGAAACAAATAATAGCAAAGAGCAGAATCACAAAAGCAAGACAGAAGCAACAGATTATAAACAATAAATTATGAATTATACATTTTTTTAAATTCTAAACTCTCATAAGCAAAAATACATAAATGGCATGAAGTATCATATTTTTATATACAAAGGTGGGCAATCCAATCCATGTAACCATTGTTCTATTCAGAATTGCAATTTGCAGTAAGTAAATCCTTTGGAAAACAACACTATAGAAATGACACTTATTATTATAATAACAGATTTGTTTTGCTTCATCCATTTGAAATATTTTTACTCTGTAAAGCCTGTACGTAAAACACCCTCTCTTTTCCGTCACCCCAACCTCTCCACCACCATCAATAGAAGGTGATCTAAATTCTGTTTGAAACGGGTCTGACATCATTCTAAGATCAATACTTAATCAAAGAATTTCACACGGAGACTATAATTAATGAAATGTGGTCAATAAAGCTGTTTGTAAGGTTAATTTGCTTTTAAGCCACAGGATCCTTCTTTGAACTCACATTCCTAGCTGTGAATCCACAAACTCTCACCTCTTCACTCACACTTTCAAGGATCGTGTTATCTAGCAACTTCAGACTAGTTTAACATGCAAAAATGGACAATCAATTTGACTCATATAACCTTTGATCCTTCACAGGTTGACACGGGAGGGGAATGAAGGGGGAATTTAGTATTTGTGTGTACATACAGTAAACATACAGGATAACGCATCACTTCAAGGAAAAAGAGCTCAGTAACAAATTATCCGGTTATGGCAAGTTAGGCATATATAGAAATACATAAATAAATGCAGCTGGGATATTAAGCGGTTGTGACAAGTTAAGGTTAATTAACTTCTTATGACTCGACCCCAAGTCAGAGTCGAGTCTTAAGAAGGTTACTGTTATTCCAGTAGAGGCACACATAACATTATGAACATATCTGTCAACTGCTCTCAATAAGCAACAGTTTTCATATTATGATGGAATTATATAATTATATGTGGTGTTAATTATAATAATAATAATAATCCTTGCATTTGATATAGCACTTTTCACATCTTCTAGTCGTCCCAAAGCACTTCACAGATTATACTGTAAAGTCAATTGACTATATTTGTGGGTGAAACGCGGCAGCCAATTGTACACAGCAGTGTCCCACAAACAGTCGTGGATTGAGTGACCAAATTATTATCGTTTTTTTTTAAGGATTATTATCCCTGGAAAAGCGGTCCACCAAACAACGAACAACTGGGTCCTACTTACTGCCAGGTAAACAGAGGCGTGTGGAGTAAGAAAACTTGCCCAACATTTCACCCTGCCGGGAATAGAACCCAGGTCCCTCACTTGCGAGGCAAGTGCTCTAACCACTAAGCTACAAGACTCCATTAAAAGAATTAACGGAGCATTCTCACTTTACCCTACCAACCCACCTGGTCTCTGCACTGGCCTGCTTACCCTGCCCCTGCCTGCTCCATCATCGGCAGTCAGACTTTCAGCCTATCTACGCTCACTCTCTGGAACTATATCCTGGAGTCCCTTTGCCTCACCCCTTCCCTCACTTCCTTCAAGTTTTGTCTCAAGACATTGCTCTTTGACCACACGTTTGGTCATTTCCATCCCCCACCACCCCTTGGCCCCCACCCCTCGTGAATCCAACCCCCAATTCCCCAGTTTGAGTGCAAAAAACCGTCAATTGTCCAGTGCCTTGGGACATCCTGACTTCAAAGGCATTATATAAATGCAATTTGTTGTTGTTAACTGGGGTCTAGTATGCACAGATTGCTAAAAATATATCAAGCTTCATACAGTAAACTCCTGATAACTCAACCCTGGCTTATCTTGTCACTAATAAAGTCATCATGCTGTCAATATCACAGCCACATTTATTTATGTATGTATACACATGCCTAATT